CCAACTCTTGGGCTACTCTTTCACCAACGAATAGTGGGATTGACTGTCACATTATAACGCCCCCACGGCTGAAAGGGCGAGCATGTTTGGTGTGACAGGGATTTGAACTCGCAACCCTCAGATTGCGAGTCGAGTGCCTTAACCACCTGGCCATGACAGGCAGTAAAATTATATATAAAAACATTAAGAGATTATGTAGTACTATGTCTGTAATATTACAACACATTAAGACTAGTAATAATTTTATACATTTTACTAAGCAAGAACCAACAAATGTGACTGCCTGTTGGCCCAGGAACACCATTTTGTTGTAACATGGTATTAAAATTTGAGCAAATACTGTGTTAATGAAACCCCTAATTTTTTTGTGGAAAAGGTTTATAAAAGCTATAAGATTAAAAACATTTCTATTGCAATATTATCATTTTTTGAAATTGAAAAATGAGTGCACACAAAATCTCATATCCTTCTATTACTATCTATTTGTGCACTAATTATCAAAGTAATTGTTAATACCAAAAAAGTGCTTAGCCTTTTCTCATCACCACTCAACCATAAGTCATCAACATTGGCCTGTCAAAGTATGGTGTCACAGGGGTTAGGGGCATAAAATTAAATTGCATTAACAAATACAAAGTCAAATCCCTTAAGTGCAACTACAAACAGACAAAAAAAAAAGAAAGTTTATTGAAATGTGAGGAAAACATTTGATGGGAAACTCAAGTTTCACGTAACATGTTCAAAGTTTAAGTTACATGTTTGATATATTTTTAACTGTGGGATGTTTTTCATGGTTCTCTGTTGAAAGTTTTATTTTAACTGTAATTTCAGTTTGTAATTACTTGTTTAAGTCATTTGTTGATGTTTTTATATATCAGTGAGGTAATTTTTACATTAGAATTTTTAAAAACAGTTATGGCATGTTAGCATATTTTAATTTCAAAATATTTCAATTTTGTCAATTTAATATTATAATAAATTGCCTTACCTTATACATTGCATTTAATTTTACTTTCATACGTTTTGTGTTGGTTTGTATATTACTGTAACGAAAATTGTATGAAAATCTAATAAAAGCAATGATTTAAGTAGTAAATACATAAGTTAATATATAATAAATGTCAATTTGTTTTAAATTTAGGGTTATAAATTTTTGGAACAGATATCCAACAGGTACAGTAAGGATATTTGGAATCTGTTGAACCTTTCTAGGTTTTGTATAAAAATGGAATTCAGTAGTTTTTGTTCCTATTTTCTTGATTTGTCTGTGTACTATAATTTCTTTTCTGCAAAATTAATTTAAACACTACTTTAGTAAACTGCAAACATTATATTAAAATTTAAAACATTTTTTTATGCTATATTCAATCAAAAGTTCTTTCTGTTACCACATTCTAAAAGTAGCATTTACAGTTATTAAGAATAATTACATTTCATGCATAAAGAGAAACAATACCTTTATTGAATTTTTGCTTTAGTTCATTCACTGTTTCAGGTGAAGTCGAGGACATAAATACTCTATACATATCAATACCTGTTCAAGAAAACAACAGAAAGAACAAGATATTAAAAATAACTATAAGAAATGAAATAAATTTCTTTATTTAGAATAAAATTGATATTACTCAAGCCAATCTGTACATCAAAGATTGGGATTTTTTTCGAAATAGCATGTACAAACAAACTTACACAAAAGCTCTTGAATATGATTCTGGTGCTTCCACTATCACTTTTCAACACTGTATTAACAGTCATCCATTACAGAATAAAATTATTAGAAATTAAGAAAATCTATAAAAAAAGTACTCCCTACAATGATGTAACATTCATTCTAGAGCATAATGTAATCAAAAACACAATTCCTACTTAGCTCCAAACTCTCTACTTTCTATAAATATTACATTTATGCAGAGAGTTTGAAGTTTGTGACTTATTGTACAGGGTGTTTCAAAGGTCCTGTACTATGGAAAAATGATACTTAAAATTGAATGATTTACTAAATGTATTGAGATATGTCTCATTTCCTTATGGAACCATATCTTTTGGATGGCCTTTATTTTACTACCAGTACATTAAAAAGAGTGCTGGGAGAATGCTTCAAACTTAAAAAAAAAGATAAAGAAAAATAGAGTACTTAACATACCACGTTTTGTACAAAGTTGGAAGAAATACTTTTTTTTTGTTTTTTTTCAGCCGTCCATAGAAAAAGAGTGTAAAATGTAAAGCATAACATCCACAAGTACCCATAGAACCAAAATATGTAACTACTCTGTAGATACAAAATAATGAACAAAATACAAAATGTGAACAGGGGAAAAATTTTGTGAATGCTATACACACATACTATGTTTTTTCAGGTAGATTCACACTCAAGCATATTCATACGTTTGTTTATAAAAAATAGTGAAATGAAAAAGCAACAAAAAACTCAAATTACAACTGTAAAAGAACTGATTTAGGAAGATTTTGCTTTTTATATCCTGATACTCCAGTTTTAGGTACAAAAAGACTTTGTTATCAAAAAGTACCTGATATCAGGTTCATAGCAGCAAAAATTAGGAAATTCACTGGTTGTTTAACTGATACATTTTTGACACTTCTAGCATTAATTTTAACAAAACTAGATTTTAAGCATAAAGTAGTTTTATAAAGACCAAAAATAAATATAAATTTATATGACAAGTCTGTCATATAAACGTAGAATTAAATCAAATGTGACCATATGATACTGTGAAAAAGAAAGATGTTTGAGAATGTACTTAGCTTTCGAAAATAGTTTAATAATTTCATAAAGTAAAAGAGTATATGAATATTCAAGATTTTGGAATGTACCAGTATTTTTCCTAATTCATTAAAGATATATAATTATCACAAGAAGAATGGAGCCTGACTAATTGTAAGATTTTTTACAATGAGAAGGATTGAAATTAGGAAAATGAAATATATCTATGCTTTTATATGTAGGTTTAGTAAAAACTATAACACTAATGTGGTATCTATTCAGAATAACTGTTCAATTAAGATCTAGCACATGGTAAAAGTAAAATTTAGAGGAGAAAATGCTTTTAGTATGTGTAAAGAAGTATACGTCAGTTGCAAAATAGAAGTTTACTTTCAATATTTTAAAAGAAGACTATTACCAACTCTCAGTTTCATGCTTTTTGGATAAGCTTACTCAAGGTCACTGTAAACCCAGTGCACAATTCATTTTTGTGAGTAGTAGCATTTTATTCCAGCATAAACAAACAAATTTCTTCTACTGTATACTGAATTAGTTAGAAAATCTGATGGCTGATCAATTTGTTTGGTTTCTTTCTCAGCACTGGGATGCACTAACAGTAGAGAATTTCTAATTCAGTACTGGGTGACAATGCATAGTTGAATGCATTATATAAATTTTGTTCTACTTCTTTTAATAGCATTACTTTGATTTTACATTTTTATGGACAGTATATGCCTGAAAAGTAGGAGTATAAGTATTTTCGTCTTTATGCTGAAGAGTTAACCTGATTGAAGTGAGGGCACTAAGATTTTAAATGTAGACATTTATATGTGCATGTAAATTTTCTCTAAACATAACTGATCAAGAGTTGACAATTACATCTATAAATCAGTAGGTTTAAGAAGGGTACAATTGTTTCTTCAGCTTTCACATCTATGGTTTCAACTTGAAAGCTTGCAAGACTTTGATCTCAAGATATTTGTTACAAATATCACTGATGACTGGGCAGAACACCTACAAGAAGACAGAGATTTGTCTGTTGTTTGTGGAAGGCACAATGCAACTGGAAATACATGTTAATTGTGGAATGTGACATACTGGAGTCAATTTTACAGTGATGCATAATTTCAGAGAGGGATCTTCAGTTAATTTCTTTTTGATAATAGGAAAGTCTAAGGGAATAGGAAAGTTGAGGAACTCATGACATTAAATTTACTAAATAATATCAGTTTATTGAATGCTTAGTTAAAAATAAAAGTACCAGAAGTCTTTAAATGAGAAACAAACGTAATTACAGACAATTTAGAATGATGGCAATTAGGGATTAGATAAAGTAAGGACAATTTGTGGAACTTTCAACACATCTGAATGGAATTAAAGGTTTGTGTATTTTAGAAAACCCAAAGAAGTGCTACCATTACAGAAGAGATGAATTTCTATGGTTTGAATATATTGATTAATTTGTCAGTAATGATTAAATCTGTTCAGTTGGCTCTTTTATCAGCACTTAAAATCGGCTATTCTGGATGGTAGTATTAATTTTTTTCATCTGGTTATCTAAAAGTTTCCTGTATAACTATCCTGTATCCTTTATGAACAGGAATAATGACAACAGCTGACTCTTGCTACATGTTTTCAATGACAATCTTTTTACAATTAAAAGATATTTGTATGTTCAATAATGTCACAAGGCAATGTAGGTTTATCATAATGTCAGTTGGTTATCAGATGCAGTACTCTTCAAAACACCACCACCAGAGATAAAAGCACAAACTCGAACTTCACTTTATACTTCCATTGTTCATTAATGATGATGACATAAAACAGACAGAACTCTTTAGAGAAAGGACTGATACAAGCTTCAAACCAACTGTATGTGCTTGTATGTCTGCACACATGCATAAATATAACAAATGCATAACTTTCTAGGCAATCAACTGAAGGCTTCAGAAAGATCAAAACACTGCCCACTTCAGGCATATACTTCTAATACAATACAATCAACTCTTCCTAAAAGTCCTTTAAAACAATGGTATGGTCTACTTTTCAAAAAGTAAACACATCTTCCCCCCAAAGTAAAATACCTTCCATTTTTGCATACATGTTTAATCAATATTTCTAAAGCCAGTATAAGTTTTTAATATGCTTGAATTTCAACTCATTTCATTATCAGCATTCATTAATCACTGGAACCAATACATTTTGATTCTACTTTTTCTCTGTAGCTCTATAAATATTAAGATTATATCTGTGAAAAAATTTTCAACCACCGAGCGTGATGACACTTACTTTTGTTTTGTTGTCCCCTGGTTTCTATTTCTTGAAGACACAATGCGACAATTTTTGGAGCAGATAACTCAGTTGCATCAAAGGAAGTTGTCAAGTCTTGTCCAAACACATTGGCTGAAAGTTAAACAACAATTAGTTTTTAGAAATTTGACTACAGAAAAAATTCATTTTCTCTTTCATATATAAGAAAAAATTCATTACGGTGTATACCACAATTCATATCTTCAATTGACTCTTCACCCATGTACCAAATATTAAAAAATTAAAAGCTGTTACTTTCTTTAGGTGATTTATATCATATTTTTATGAGCCTAACTAATAATGCACTGCAGTAGTATCAGTGCTTTGCAGTTGAAAAACAGACTGGAGCTGTACAATCCATTAAACAGTCAATGGGAGCTGTTAGCATTGTTTCATGCAGATGAAATTATAGTCAGAAGGACCTGATTCCAAATATATGGGGCAGAAATTGATCAGGGTTAAAGTTTTAAAAAGTGTCAGTTAACACATCTGTTATCTTAAATTAATAAAATATTACACATTTTCTTCAAACAGTTTCAATACACTGTTTATAACAAACTTACCAAGAGACCATTCAAATCATTGTGCACACACATTCTTCCAATTGGGTCATTAAATGTTATAATTACCATGTTGTCATGAAATAAAAATCTGTGATATAAGATTATTTGCAATAAATACAGTAATATTGTATCGTTATAATATTTCTGAATCTCTCTTGCAGCATGCAGAAGTAGTGGGCAACATGTCATTTACTGATAAGGGATGGAAAAAGCATTCATGATATAGCATTTACAGGTGCTAGCAGCTACTAGTTCAATGGCAGATATCAAAACAGAAGCACTGTAGTATACTGTATTCTTTACTTGCTTTTGGTGCTACAACTAAACAGAAAGAAATTATCATCTGATCTTTAATTTGCAGTACCAATGTTCTATTACCTAAACATCTTGTCAATTGTTGGTTGCAAAAATTAAACTAAACTTAAAAATATTTATCTTATTGAACCAAGATAAGAATGTATTACATTTGACTAAGATTAATGTTAAGGTATTTTAACTTGAAGGTTATAATTTGTCATAATTAAGATAAAAAAAGTGGTTTAACCTTGAGAAATTTGACTATATATTACATTAATGTATGAGATGGAAGTGCACTAATTAGTGCTCCCATCTTGGTTAAAAATAATTTTCCAGAACATTTCAATCATTAATCATGACATTTTATAGTCTTAAATCACCTCTCATATCTAACCCATCCTCATTCCATTTCAGTTATTTTATTTATTAACCATATCTTAATTAAGTTAATTGCTCAATGAAATGATAAACTGTTACCAAACTTCATGAAGTTGCAGTGTTCCATAACTTCTCAAGGACATTTATGTTTTACTCCACTTTCCATGACTTTTAAAGACCTACAAATTAACTTTGAAATTTTTTACAGGTTTCCCAAGGCACAATGTGAACCATGATTAATATAATTTTTAACTGCCTAAATAAATTACTAAAAAAAAAAAAAGAGATCAATAACATGAGTGATAACACATCAGAATTACATAATAATGCATAAATAAAAATTATTTTTAAGTTTTTCTTAGAGGAATATAAATTTGCTATGCTTGATGATCAAGATGATAAAATATTAACAGAAATAATAAAATATTTTTATTATCATTTAGTATTATTCAGGTAAATGCTTACACTTTGACAACAAATGTTCTTTTTGTTTGCCTGGCCCCTGGCAAGATGGTAGTCCTGTTGCAGCACATGTTTTGTGGCATACCAGTCCACATTCTGAAACAAAAAATTTCAGAATAAAGAATTAAAGTTCCTAAGTTTAACAATTAATATTGATATTTTTAACAAATCAAATTTCCAACATACTACAAACTGTCACACTTTACATTTAAGTATTTGGAAGACTGATTGAATTTTAGTGATTCATTTTGAATTGGTATTTTAAGCCTTAATAGCTACTTTATTCAGTATTGCCTCTGTAAGAAGTGATAGCCTTAATTCTGACCAGGTTTCATAGATTATCCTTTCGTAAAAGTAGAATGCAGCTGGAAAATGAGATGTCATTTTAATTGTCTCTTTTCTGTAATTTTTCACAGTGTTCAATGTTAAAAGTTCACTAATCCTTATAACTGTTCCCAAAATACCAAGCTTCAAAACTTACAAAAAATAAAGAGTATAATTTTACCTTTTAAGAAAATTCCCCCAAAAAAATGACTAAATCCAGTCAAAAACACAAAGAAAACACTAAAACTAACAATAATAACAAGAAAATTAGACCATGTGGTTGTCTAATGTAACATGGGTAAAATATTTGTGGTTATACCACATTAAAAAAATCACAGATATGTATTTCTTCACTCAAATACCTTTAAGATTACCTAACTCAACCACTAAATATCTAGAGAAGTAAGTAGCTACAAAAATATTGAATACTCATTCCATTGGTAAAGTAACTTTCTAACTTTACATAACTATGTAATAAGTATTAAGGATTAAGCAATAAAAGTTAAAATTTTGTTTGAAAAATTACCGTGGATAAAACTATCCAATCAACGAAGAATTCTAAATTCAGTATTACGTTAATCTATGTGTATATTAATACTACATCTCACAAACTTTCATTTCTTTGACCTCTAACCTTTACACACGAGTCCCTGATGAACAATTCCCCTTAAGTAGGCATGACACTTGTGACACTGAAGTAATGTAGAGAAACTTTCCTGGACCAGCTTATGGGGAACATATGGTGCCTCTAATAAAGGTAAAATAAAGTTCAATGTTTTGATTCACTTAAAAAAAACCTTTGGGTGCTTAAACATATACCAGTACACTAGAAACTTAAATAAGAAGCTTCAAACTGCAGTAAAAACTTGCAATAAGACAGAAATCATGAGAATGTACATAATCCAATGAACTCTTAAGGTTCAAATTTTAAAAGAAAACTATACACCTGGAAAAAAGTTAAGTACCCCCGTGTTTTTTTCAAGTGATTCAGATTCGACGTTCTTGTGACTGATTATAAATTACCATTCAATCTAAACGTGTTTATCAAATGAAATTATGCATTATTGGGCACAAGAAACAAGATTATCACCGTAAAATACAATTTTTAAATTTTACATATCATAGACATCAAAAT